TAGGCAGGGACAGGTATAGTTTGTCAGCTCTGTCCAGTCATGGCAGACTCTGCTTTATTTTTGCACCTACAGTATCTCTTATTCCAGACACTTTGGATCATAAGTGTTCCATGTTGGAATGTTTTCATATTTTGGAATATTGCATAGATGTATTGTGGAGATACCTTGGGAGAGGGGACCCAGGTCTAAACACAACATTCATTTATGTTTCACTAGCCATCCCCTGCACACGTTGCTGTGGCCCACTCTGGTGGTCATGGGGGTTCTGTGTGGGAGGTTTGGCCCAATTCTATCATTGGTGGGGTCCGGAATGCTCTGTGATTGTAGGTGAACTATAAATCCCGGCAACTATAACTCCCAAATGTCAAGATTCACCCTGGTCATTCCACAGATATATAAACCCATTGTCCTAATTCCAACAGACCTCACTACCTCTGAGGATGCTTGCCATAGATGCAGGCGAAACGTCAGGAGAAATGCCTCTAGAACATGGCCATATAGCCCGAAAAAACCCACAAGAACCTAGTGTCAAGATTCTATTTCCCCCAAACTCCACCAGTGTTCACATGTGGGCATATTGAGTATTCGTGCAGAGTTTGGTCCAGATCCATCATTGTTTGAGTCCACAGTGATCTCTGGATGTAGGTGGACTACAACTCCAAAACAAAAAGACACTGCCCACCAAACCCTTTCAGTATTTTCTCTTGGTCATGGAGTTCTGTGTGCCAAATTTGGTTCAATTCCAGTGTTGGTGGGGTACAGAATGGTCTTTGATTGTAGGTGAACCATAAATCCCAGCAACTACAACTCTCAAATGATAAAATCATTTATTTTTTTTGAGTGAAGGACATACATTGGGTTGTTAGGTGTCTTGTGTCCAAATTTGGTGGCAATTCGTCCAGTGGTTTTTGAGTTCTGTTAATCCCGCAAATGAACATTAAATTTTTATTTATATAGATAAGCAGTACACCTAGCCCAAAGGTACATTTATAGACAATATTTTAAATAACGTTGTGCATGAAAACTGGTTTATAAACACAGAAGCACCAGAGAGCAAAGGTGTCACTGCCTCCGTCACTTCCATTTTGGAATCTTTGACGTTTTTGGAATTCCAGATAAGGCATGATTGACCTTCACCTGCCATTTAGTTTATACCTGCCACATAGACATGCAGATGTGTTTGTCCACGGAGAAGAACATCCCATACACCTGAGGAAATCCGCTAAAGCCTTCAGCCAAAGGCTTTCTAAAGTAAGTGCCTGGGGGACCCATGCTCTGCAGGAGCAGCAAAAGGCCTCAAGCAAAGCGACTAAGGAGAGAGAGGGACGTTGCCATGGGACTTGCAGTGCCATTCCAGCAGGATGTGGATGATGGAAAGTGGAATCCAGGCGTTTATGCCTGGTGCTTCACAACCACAGTTTAACTGGAGTCTGTTTGTTATGGGGGATATTGACGGGGAGGCAGCTCCCACTCGAAATGTTCTCTTTTTCTTTTGGAGACCTCCCCGTAGTGTCTCTTGTTGCCTTCCCTTAGCAACAAGACACACAGGCATCGTTTTCTCCTTGCTTAAGCAAATAATTCAAGTACTCTGTTTATAGGATTTAGGGATCCCCTCCACAGAAAAGCCTGCAACTTCTCCTGTTTCTCGGTCCAGCCAGAATTCCCAGACCCACAAATCAACAAGAGAGTAGCTCCTGGTGCAGTGCCCTTGCTGGCCCTGAGGTTGGCCCTTCTCACCTTTGCACCGGTGGACCATCCCTGGTGTCCTGTGTGATTTTGCAAGAAAGCATTCTTGGCTTTTTGGCGCCTTTATTTATTTATTTATTTAGAGGATTTCTATACTGGCCTTCTCAACCTCGACAAGGGACTCAGGTCGGTTTACAGTACATATCAAATACAATCAGATAAAACAGCAAATACAACTCATTACATATTAAAATAGTACAACTCAGTACAATAAAAACCTCATCATTACATCATTACAGTTTCCTACGCCAAATCGTCAATCCAGTCATGGTCATAATCATATTCATAGTCGCAGTTCATCATAATTCATCACAGGGAAGGTTCCAGATTCAGTCTTTGAATGCCGCATTCCAGAGCCATGTTTTTAACGATTTCCTGAACGTCAGGAGGGAGGGGCGCCATGCAAGTAGATGGGTGGTGGGCTCCCCAGAGACAGGGACAGTGTGTACTGTATGTATGTTTGGGGATCTGGGTATCAGGTCTCCTCTGTTTCTCTTCAGCCTCACATCTCATACACTGCAAAAGTAGCAGATGAATGAGATGCAAGTTTTGAGAGAGCCATGACAAAGTAGCAGGGGATGTGGATATCCAAGATACCTTGTTATGTATATGAAAATATTCTAGAAATCCCAAGCATTTTGGATAAGGGGTACAGTTCCTGCATCAGACATTTGTCCAGAATCAGCTGGACCTGAGGATGGACCAGGAGAAACTCCATGGAAGATAAATCTGCCTCATACCAACAACTGTAGCAAGAACATCTAAGGCGTAAGATGACCAGTAGAACTTACGCCTTATTTCTGTAAATCATCATTTATGCCAGTGGCTGATTTCATCATAGAATCATGGAATTACTCGTGCCTTTGTTTTCTGGCAGCATCTTGGGAGAAAGGAGTGGTCATACTTTTCATGTAAGCCTCTTTGAGTCGCCTTCGGGAGAGATAAAGCTAGATATAAATAAACATTAACCATCTATATAAATGTAATGTTCGTTTGTGGGATTAACATAACTCAACAACCACTGGGTGAATTGACACAAAATTTGGACACTACACCCCTAACAGACCAACGAGTGACCATTACTCATAAACCCCTCCCAAAAAACAGCGGAAAGGACTTAAATACCTAAAAAATATAAATGACAATACAGCGCATGTGTGGAAACAACAGCTCCCAGCATCCCCTAGACCAGGCCATTTTGGGGAGGAGGATGCTCCAAATGCACTGCTTCCAAGATGCAAGCTTGCTTCTCCTTGGATTTCTTTGAGAGTATCCTAATCATATTTCCAATTTCCTATTCCTGGACTGCAACTCCCAGCAATCCTCCTGATAGATAAGATAGATAGAGAGAGATCAGTCTATAAATAAAGATGATGATGATGATGATGATGATGATTATCATCATCATCATCATCATCATCATCATCAGGAGGACTGCTGGGAGTTGCAGTCCAAGAATAGGTAGAGAAGGAAGAAAGAGAAAGAAAAAGGAAGGAAGGAAGGAGAGAAGGAACGAAAAAGGAAGGAGAGAAGGAACGAAAAAGGAAGGAAGGAAGGAAGGAAGGAAGGAAGGAAGGAAGGAAGGAAGGAAGGAAGGAAGGAAGGAAAGAGGGAGGGAAGGAAGGAAGGAAGGAAGGAAGGAAGGAAGGAAGGAAGGAAGGAAGGAAGGAAGGAAGGAAGGAGAGAAAGAGGGAGGGAAGATTGACCACAGTAATACATGACTGGTACAGCTAATAATAATAATAATAATAATAATAATAATAATAATAATAATAATAATAATATGATTGTAGAAAAGAAAAAAGTCTGGATTATTGATGTTGCCATTCCAGGTGACAAACAACAGGAAAAACTCAGCCGCTATCAAGACCTCAAAATCGAACTACAAAGGCTCTGGCATCAACCAGTACAGGTGGTCCCAGTGGTCATCGCCACACTGGGTGCCATGCCAAAAAATCTCAGCTGGCATTTGGAAACAATAAACATGGACAAAATCACGATCTGTCAACTGCAAAAGGCCACCTGACTTGGGTCTGCATCTTTGCTGTGACATACTCTGGTTTTGTGCCAGTAAAATAATCATCATCATCATCATCATCATCATCATCATCATCATCATCTATATAAATAAAAATGTAATGTTCGTTTGTGGGATTAACAGAACTCAAAAACCACTGGGGGAATTGACACCAAATTTGGACACAAGACACCTCTCAGGACAATATATGTCCATCACTCATAAAAACACTGAAAAACACAGCGGAAGGGACTTAAAAAGCCCCCAAAACCTAAATGACGAAAAGCTAAATGACAATACAGAAAAAAGGAAGAAAGAGGGAAGAGGAGAAAAAAAGAAAGAAAGAAAGAAAGAAAAGAAAAGAAAGAGGGAAAGAAGGAAGGAAAAAGGTAGAGAAGGATGAAAGGAGAGAAAGGCAAGAAAAAGGGGGAAGGAAGGAGAGAAGGAAAGGAAAAAGGGAAAGAAGGAAGGAAAGAGAGAGTAAAGGAAGGGGGAAGATGTAGAGAAAGAGGGAGGGAAGGAAAGAAGGAAAGAGAGACAGCAGAAGAGAAAGAAAAGGGGGGAAAGAAGGAAAGAGAGAAGGAAAGAAGAAGAGAAGGAAAGATGGGAAGGAAGGAGGGAGAGAAGGAGAGAAAGAGGGAAGGTTGGCCACAGCAACGCGTAGCGGGTACAGATAATAATAATAATAATAATAATAATAATAACAACAACAACAACAACAACAACAACAACAACAGCAACGATGATGATATCTTCCTCTGGCTTCCCACTGAGCATATTGAGTGGCACGTTTCCCTGCCCTGCCTGTAGTGATGCTTCCTCCTGGTTTGCTCATCCCCAGGTGAAGAGGTTTCTGGAAGTCTTGCGCTCCCTCCCCTACCCTCCAAGGTCTACCTGTTTTTGTGCTGCTGCCACTTGTTTGTGATGCGCCCACTGCCTGCTCCAGTTTTCAGGGCAGGTATAGGAATGGATCTGTGGTGTGAGCTCACTGATGGCTCCTCAGAGAACAGAATGACCAGTGAGCAAGATGCCTCTCATTGGTGGTTATCTAAATGGAGTGTTTCTCCTTGCAGGTGGGCATCTGGTAAAGCAAGCAAGGATGGGATGTGTTCCTGGGCACCGTGTGCTTCAGATGTACCTTTTGTCAACTGGGAACCTTGCAAACTCCAGTGGCGCCATTTTCTCCCTTCCCAGCCGCATTTTTACGTGCTGACCACTTCTATGCTTCTCTCCGCAGGGACACGGCAGGACAGGAGCGGTTCCACACCATCACCACCTCCTACTACCGAGGAGCCATGGGCATCATGCTCGTGTATGACATCACCAACGCCAAAAGCTTTGAAAACATCAGCAAGTGGCTCAGAAACATAGACGAGGTGAGCGGCAAGTGGTGCAAGGCGGGGGAGGTCGTTGGAGGGCAGGGAATGGCCAGTCGGGGGGGGGGGGTGCAGTGAGGGTTTGACCCCACTGAAATCACCAGGTGACCCCTCTGGGGGTCACGACCCCCAGGTTGAGAACCGCTGATCTAAAACAACATTTCTTTCTCTGGGAAACAGAAATGCTGTCTCTTCATCAGAATCAACACTGTCTGCCTCAATAACAGGGTCATGTTCAGAAATCTGTAACCCATCCTCCTCCTCATCCTGAGGAAACTCAGGCTCAGAAAGCTCAGGCGCAAAGTGAGCCACAGCACAGACAGAGAGACAGGCTTGGCTCCCTCTTTGAAGCCATTCATGTCAGGAGCTGCTTGAGGTCACATTAGTCATCCCAAAGTCCTGAGCCTGAGGTCACGTTAGTCATTCCAAAGGACGACATGATTGCATCTAACATCCTGCAACATGTAGCGGTTCTGTGGCCCTTGGCACCACTTCCTGAGGTGACGCAGCACTCGGTTGCCTACAAGCAATTACAAGAACAATGTGAGGAGGAGGCACAGAGGTGTGTATGAAGACTTGGTTAAATGGACGAACCCAGAGGGTGATTCTCCCCAAGGCTTCCTCTTCATCCTGGAGAGAAGTGATGAGCAGAGTGCCATCAGCAGGGTTCCCTCCTGGGCTTGGTCCTGTTCAGGATCTTTATTAATGACTTAGGTGAAGGGCGAGAAGGCAGGATCATCAAGTTTGCAGACGACACCAAATTGGGAGGGAGAGCCAAGACTCCAGAGGACAGGAGCAGGAATTAAAGGGATCTTCTCAGATGAGAGAGATGAATGGCCAAAACTAACAAAATGAAGTTCAACAGTGACAAATGCAAGAGACTCCACTTAGGGAGAAAAAAAGGAAATGCAAAGAGACAGAATGGGGGACAATGCCTGGCTCAAGAGCAGTACGTGTGAAAAAGATCTTGGAGTCCTCGTGGACAACAAGTTAAAGATGAACCAACAATGTGATGTGGCGGCAAAAAAGCCAATGGGATTTTGGCCTGCATCAAGAGGAGCCTAGTGTCCAGATCTAGGGAAGTCATGCTCCCCATGCTCTATTCCGCTTTGGTTAGACCACTTTACCTGGAATATTGTGTCCAATTCAAGAGAGATATTGACTCTAAGCTGGAATGTGTCCAGAGGTGGGTGACTAAAATGATCAAGGGTCTGGAGGACAAGCCCTATGAGGAGCGGCTTAAGGAGCTGGGCATGTTTAGCCTGAAGAAGAGAAGGCTGAGAGGAGATATGATAGCCATGTATAAATATGTGAGAGGAAGCCACAGGGAGGAGGAGGGAGCAAGCTTGTTTTCTGCTTCCCTGGAGACTAGGACGCAATGGAACAATGGCTTCAAACTACAAGAGAGGAGATTCCATCTGAACATGAGGAAGAACTTCCTGACTGTGAGAGCCGTTCAACAGAGGAACTCACTGTCCTGGAGGGTGGAGGCTCTTTCTTTGGAGGCTTTGAAACAGAGGCTGGGTGGCCATCTGTCAGAGGTGCTTTGAATGCAATATTCCTGCTTCTTGGCAGAATGGGGTTGGACTGGATGGCCCATGAGGTCTCTTCCAAATCTAGGATTCTATGACCCCAGAGTAATGAAGCAGAAGACATTACCCCACATAGGGACTGCAAAGTCCTCCCTATGAATATGATACTAGTTCGCTGGCCCAGGAAGTCCGCTCACATGCTGACCATTAAGTATTGGCTCTCTCCTCCTTTTGGAGCGGATTTTGCAATCCTGGGAGTGGGATTCCTACTGTTACCTAGCAATGTTGGGGGGAGTATTTATTTATTTATGTTCTTTGTTTATATTTATGCCCCCCCCCTTTCTCCCCGAGTGTTGGCATTTAGCCCCAAGAGTCATCTCTGAGACAAACACCCCCAGCCGCTCCACAGAGATTCATATTTTTTTCAGACTGATTATGTTGCTCATTTCATATTTGTATATCTTGGCTACGCTTCCACAGCAGCCACATCCTGCTCTTCTGTTGTTTACGCAGCACTCAGAATAGGAATACAAATGTCTCCCCTGTACAGTACTATAGAACAGGCATGGATCAACTTCGACCTGCCCTCCAGGTGTTTTGGACTGCAACTCCCACCATTCCTAACAGCCTCAGGCCCTTTCCTTTTCCCCCTCAGCCGCTTAAGCGGCTGAGGGGGACCATGCCTTCTATAGAGGCTGTTAGGAATGGTGGGAGTTGCAGTCCAAAACACCTGGAGCGCAGGTCAAAGTTGCCCCATGCCTTCTATAGAGGCTGTTAGGAATGGTGGGAGTTGCAGTCCAAAACACCTGGAGCGCAGGTCAAAGTTGTCCCATGCCTTCTATAGAGGCTGTTAGGAATGGTGGGAGTTGCAGTCCAAAACACCTGGAGCGCAGGTCAAAGTTGTCCCATGCCTTCTATAGAATGGGGACTTTGATTCTATAGAATCAAAGTCCCCATTGGCACCAATACCAGTGGGGCGGCTCTGGGAGGGTCCATAGGCACCCTTCTTCCTTCTGCAGGTAGCACACCTCTGGGAGTGGAGCATTGATGGGCAGAGACCTCGCCCCACCATAGTAGATCATTTACCTGGAACTGGTTTTGCCAGGTGAGCGGAAGTCCTTGCAGATGTGTTTTGGTGGCTGAGCCAGTGTTAAGAGTCAATACCGGGCTGATATGATATGGAAGAGCCATTTGACCCAAGGCAGTTTGGCCGTTGTGATGTTCTAAGGAAGGTGAGGCACCCATGACTTCCTCCCTCCCTTATTTCAGCCAGAGAACATGTGTTCAGCGTGAGAGGCGTTGGAGCCCTGGGGTGACTCACTTGTGCTGAGACAGCGGAAAATGCTCAGGCGTGGAGAGTTTGGCAGCGGTGTCTTCGGGCCATGCAGACCAGAAGCAGGAAGCCCTTGCCTCTGGGCCTGACCTTCCTTGTTTCAAAATCTCCCTCTTCTTAAATGCTTTGTTGTATTTATTTATCGTGTCAGGCAACCGAACAGTTTTGATTGTGAAGGCACACTGCAACAGCCACAATGCTGTATTCATACCCTGTCCTCCTATCAGTGTTGACAGACACCTAAAACCTGTCCCGTGTCTCCCTCTGCAGCATGCCAACGAAGACGTGGAGAGGATGCTTCTAGGAAACAAGTGCGACATGGATGACAAGAGGGTGGTGCCCAAAGCGAAAGGCGAGCAGGTGAGCGGTCGTTCCAAGTCTCCTTGACGGGATGTAAATAAACATGATGATGAGGATAATGATGTTGTTGTTGTTTTTGGTTGGGACATCGGGGTGTTTATTGTGTCAGGAGCAACTTGAGAAACTGCAAGTCGCTTCTGGTGTGAGAAAACAGTCCGCCTGCAAGGACATTACCCAGGGACACTCAGATGCTTTAATACTGACTTAGAATGGACTGTGCTCCCTCATTTCTCTCCAGAAAATCCTATCCTAGTTATATTTTACCTTGTTCACGTCAGCATATTTTCAATTTTAATCTATTACATTTGGTCTGGCCATTTTTAAAATCGTTTATGTCACTGTTGTTTGTTTTTTGTTTATGTGATTTATATGATTTGTATTTTATTGATTGTTTATTGATGTTTTGTTTGATGTACTTTGGACTTGGCCTCATGTAAGCTGCACCGAGTCCCTTGGGGAGATGGTAGCTGGGTACAAATAAAGTTTATTAAAGTTTATTTATTATTAATATGTTTTACCTTCCTGTGGGAGGCTTCTCTCATGTCCCCGCATAAGAAGCTGAAGCTGACAGACAGGAGCTCACCCCATTCCCTGGATTTGAATTGCTGACCTTTCAGTTAGCAGTCCTGCCGGCACAAAGGTTTAACCCATTGCACCACCAGATGCAACTTTATAATTGCGTCTGGATATCTATATAAATAAAAATGTAATGTTTGTTTGTGGGATTAACATAACTTTAAAACCACTGGGCGAATGGACACCAAATTTGGACACAGTACACCTATCAGTCCAAGGAGTGACCGTCACTCATGAAAACACTGAAAAAAACAGCAGTAGAAACTTAAAAAGCCAAAATACCCCAAAAATACATTACAACGCATGTGCAAAACCACACACACATGTGCAAACATGAATATACACATATATACACACAAAAAAGCACATAGAATCGTAGAATCAAAGAGTTAGAAGAGACCTCCTGGGCCATCCAGTCCAACCCCATTCTGCCAAGAAGCAGCCTCTGTTTAAAAGCCTCCAAAGCCTCTGTTTAAAAGCCTCTGTTTAAAAGCCTCCATCCAGCCTCTGTTTAAAAGCTTCCAAAGAAGGAGCCTCCACCACACTCCGGGGCAGAGAGTTCCACTGCTGAACGGCTCTCACAGTCAGGAAGTTCTTCCTCATGTTCAGATGGAGTCTCCTTTCTTGTAGTTTGAAGCCATTGTTTTGCGTCCTAGTCTCACAGACTTGGCCGGAGCAAGGCGTGGCAGGGGATGGCTAGTATTATAATAGAAACATAATAATAAACATAATAATGATAATGATGATTGTGATGTTGGCTAGGACTTCTGGGTGTTGAAGCCTCAAATACATGGAGGACCAAAGGTTGGGCTCTCCATCAATTCCTTTAGGTTTCTCCCTGTTGTATTGGGCTGGCTAGTTTGTGCTGTGAGTTTTCAAGACCAACCTGGTGGGTGTGCCTCTTGTCTTCTCTTCAAGCCTCACACCAGGCCTCCCCCTGGGATGGGAAGCCCACCCCGGTCTCTGAAAGCACAGCCCTCGCTTAGCAAAGGAGTGAGTCTTTGTGTCTGGTGGCTTTGCCCAGGCACAGGAGGACCTCTGCTTCTGCTGGGTATTTGGACTTGACCTTTGTGGCTTGTGTTTCACCTCTGTGGGTGTTGAAATGGTTTCAAGCTTGATCTGAATTGATGCAAAAAAAAATTTGCAAAAATAATGGCATCTCCATGCACCATTTATTAGCTGCCTTGTCGCCTTGGTTCTATAACTGGGACGGGAGGAGCAGTTTGTTATTATTATTTACAGCATTTATATACCGCTTTTCTCACCCTGAGGGGGATTTTGTTGCAACCAGAGTCCACAAATATGAGTCGACGAATGCCTGGCAGTTTCGTGAAGCGTGTCCCGGTCTCACCCCCGTTCCTCTCTCCTTTTGGCCTAGATCGCAAGGGAGCACGGAATTAGGTTTTTCGAAACTAGCGCAAAAGCAAATATAAACATTGAGAAGGCATTCCTCACGTTAGCAGAAGACATTCTCCGAAAGGTAAGTGGAGTATTGTGTGCCAGGAAGGGAGTGGGGAGCTGCTGAGGGGCTTAGTTTGGGGCCCCATTGCGCCATGCGGCCAGGTATAGGCCTGTGGAAGTGACGTGGCACCAATTCATTTCTAGCTGTAATCAAGGCTTTGCTGGAAGTGGGGACACTTTCAGGCAGTTGAGGGTGGCTTGGCTTGGAGCAGAAAACTGCTGAATTTTAAGAAGATAATATTGTATTGTCAAAGGGTTTCATGGCCGGAATCACTAGGTTGTTGTAGGTTTTTCAGGCTATATGACCATGTTCTAGAAGCATTCTCCCCTGACGTTTCGCCTGCATCTGTGGCAAGCGTCCTCAGAGGTTGTGAGGTCCTCACAACCTCTGAGGATGCCTGTCATAGATACAAGCAAAAGTCAGGAGATAATGCTTCTAGAACATGGCCATCCATATACCCCGAAAAACCTACAACCCCAATAATATTGCACATGGGAAGAAAGCCTCCGTGGGCCTAGCAGGGAGCTTCATGACCAACTTTCGGCCCATTGCCTCTCACCACAGGAACCAGAATGTGAAGCAGTAGAGCCACTTAATGGCAGGTTGTTCCTGACCCATGATAGCCCTAAGGCCCTGCCACAGGTTTCCTTGCTAACATTCATTTGGAGGGGCCTTGCCACCATGGCTTTCCATGGAAGAGTGTGGCTTGGCAGGGCCTCCCTTTGAGTTTTCATGGCCAAGCGGAGATTCCAGCCCTGGGCCCTAGTCCCACTGTCAAACCACTGCAGCACAGTGACTCAGCATTCAATGGCGTGATGTGGTGAGTGCAGTGCTGTGCTCCTGTGCCTTCTGATGGGGCTCCGGAGGGCCGCTGTTGTTGGAAGGGAGGAAGCACCAACACGTGTACATACTGTATATACTCATCTACAAACACACCACAGAATGAATGCGGTTTGGTCCCACTTCAACTGCTGGGGCTCAGTGCTATGGGAGCCTGGGAATTGTACTTCTACAAGGCCTTTGACCATCTCTGCCCCACCAAACTACGTCGGGATTTAAGACAGAATGAAACACCTATCTCTTTCAGCAGGCCTGCCCAGTCAATAATAATAATAATAATAATAATAATAATAATAATAATAATAATAATGTCTTACCCACCTTTTGTTGTTATTATTATTGTTATAATTGCTATTAATATAATAATAATAAACTATTATTATTACTAATATTTATTATACTACTTAATATACTATTTATTATTATTATTTATTACCTGTTGCTCCACATAGTATTATTATTATTTTATTTTTTACCCACTTCTCCATTATTATTATTAATAATAATATAATATAATATTTATTATTATTATATTTCTTACCTGCTATTCCTTATGGTATTATTATTATTATATTACCCACTTCTTCATTATTATTATTAATAATAATATTTATTATACTATTTAATATACCATTTTATTATTATTATTTCTTACCTGCTGCTCCTCTATATTTCTTACCCACTTCTCCATTATTACTATTATTATTAATATTATATTTATTATTATTGTATTTCTTACCTGCTGCTCCTCATGGTATTATTATTACTGTATTTCATACCCACTTCTTCATTATTATTATTATATAATATTTATTATACTATTCAATATACCATTTATTATTATTATTATTATTTCTTACCTGCTGCTCCTCATAGTATTATTATTATTATATTTCTTACCTGCTGCTCCTCATGGTATTATTATTATTGTATTTCTTACCTACTTTTTCATTATTATTATTAATAATAATAACATTATAATATTTATTATACTATTTAATATACAATTTATTATTATTATTATTATTATTATTATTACTATATTTCTTACCAACTTCTCCATTATTATTAATATAATATTTATTATTATTATATTTCTTACCTGCTGCTCCTCATGGTATTATTTGTATTGTATTTCTTACCCATTTCTTCATTCATATTACTATTATTAATAATATAATATTTATTATTAATAATAATATTTTATTTCTTACCCATCTCTCCTTTATTATTAATAATAATATAATATTTATTATTAATATTATTAATATTATTATACTTCTTACCTGCTGCTCCTCATGGTATTATTATTTTATTTCGTATCCACCTCTCCTTTATTTCTTACCCACCTTTTTAAAATATGTCCTTTTAAAAGCAGGACATATTGAACATGGCACTCATAGATACACTTCAAGATGTATTATTAACTATTAATATAATATTTATTATATTTATTATTATATTTATTTCCCGCCTCTCCTCGCGACTCGAGGCGGGTGCATCACAGCACAGTCAAAACACACAAGCATTACAAAAATTCTATAAACACATGTATTAAAATATAGTTCTATAAAAAGATACATATCAAAACATATTTCTATAATTATAGATTTTGCAATTACATTTTATTAGTCTTGGTGTTCTGATTCTTAATATATGCATTATCTATGTATTTTTACTGTGTTGTGCCCTGCCTCGAGCTGCAAAGACTTAATTGTTATTATTATGATTATATTCCTTCTCCTCCTCCCAGGATGACATGGCATGGAGCCATAGCTGATCAAATGGCGTTGGGTTGCCTTCTATAGTATAGATCAGGTCTGGGTCAACTTTGGCCCTTCTTCCAGGTGTTTTGGACTCCAACTCTGGCAATTCCTAACAGCCTCAGGCCCCTTCCTTTTCCCCCTCAGCCGCTTAAGCGGCTGAGGGGGAAAAGGAAGGGTCCTGAGGCTGTTAGGAATTGCCAGAGTTGGAGTCCAAAACACAGGGAAGGAGGGCCAAAGTTGGCCCATGCCAACTCCTTCCATCTGGAAGGAGGGCCAAAGTTGGCCCAGGCCTGGACTAGAAGAGGCTGGAGATGCCCTTTGGTGAGCAGCTGAGGCAGGGTTTGGGGGGCTTTCCTTGACCTCTGCTTGTCCTCCTCTCTCCCGCTTGCAGACCCCGGTAAAAGAGCCCAACAGCGAGAACGTGGACATCAGCAGTGGGGGCGGCGTGACCGGCTGGAAGAGCAAGTGCTGCTGAGGGGCCCCCTCCTCCTCTTCCTCCTCCTCTTCCTCCTCCCTGGCCAAGCGCCCTCCTCCTCCTCCTCCCCTCCTCTGCTCCTCGCTGCGGAATAAACCACTTTGCCCATTTTTAACCTTAAATATATATATATTTTTCGGTTGTTGTTCCTCATCTTAACACGGCCTCTTCTTCCTCCTCCTTTTCCTCTTCCTCCTCCTTTCCTTTTGTTCTTCTCTTAGGGAGAGCTCACTGACTTATAACCTTCTCAAAACTGTATCGGGAAAAAGGAAAAAATAATAATCATGTCTTGACTTTTTATTTTTTAATGTACCGGCATATAAACGAACTCAAAAACGCACCCCCCGTTCCCGGTTGTGTTTATATACGGCCCAGTCTTCAATTCTAAAGTTTAGAGCGGTGATTTCGGAGTTCTCTTGCAAAACTGTACCAGAATAAATGCGTTAAAGCAGTTTATCATTTTTGTACAACCGCGGGGTTTTTCTTTTACTTTCTTTGTTTTGTTTTCTTAATGGGTACTGTGCTTAAAAGTCACCGTATTTGCATTTGCAGAAAAAGGAAACGAAACCACTCATTCGCCTTGAGTCTGTAAATGGGGTTTATTTTGTCCTGTGCCTTAAGTGGAAAGGAACTTTGGTTCTCCCCTTCCCTTCCTTTACCTTCCTTTCTTCCTTTTCCTCCTTCTTTTCTTTTTCTGGCCAAAGCAAGGCCAGAGGGCCCCATTGACGTAGTGAACGGAGGGCCACACACAGGGGCTCGAGGGCGGACAGACAAGCAAGGCCTCCTTTTCCACACTGTCCGCGTTCCCCCTTTCTTTCTCTCCTTTCCCCTTCCCTCCCTTCTTCCCCTGCATGCCGGTTTTACTTCCCTTCTCTCTTTTTTTAATGGTGTGATGTGTTCAGAGGTGGCAATATTGTTTTGCCAAATTTAATTCAGAAGCACTGATCATGGATCTAGCTTTGTTTTTTTTCTTCTCTCCCCCTGAGGTTAAAAAACGTGAAGTACCTACTAACCCTTTATTATTTTTGTCTAGCGAACGTCGGGCCAATGACTACCTTCCCCTTCCTTCCCTCCTTCCTTCCTTCCCTCCCATAGTTATTGAGGTTGATGATGGTGATATGGAAGCGTGAATTGCATGCGCACTCGTGTTCTCCGGAGGGCGGTGACAGCGGCGGCATTGCGTCCCTCGTCCGCCTCGGGTGTTAGGGTTTTAGGCCACAGCCGGCTCCATTGATCCGGATGTGGGTGTTTTTTGTTTTTTCTTTGCTGCTCCAGGCAGGTGACTCGGTAGCCTAGTTGGATCTATATTTAAATATTTGGGGGGTGGGAAATGGGGCGAAAGGGGGCGGACGGTGAACGGGCGGACAGGCCTCCCCAGTGCAGTGCGCTCCTCTTTCTCCTCCTCCTTCTGTGTTCGGCTCTTCACAATAAAAACAATCCCTTGTTTACAAACGTGGGCAATTGTAACTTCTTTCTGACTCACTTTTCGGGTTTCGTTGTTGATGCTGTAAGGACCGGAGGAAGCAGTCGTTACGTTTCCTTCCGGGAGAGCAAAGTTTGGCCTTCTCTCCAGGTGCTTTGGACTCCAACTCTCAGCATTCCTAACAGCCTCAGACCTCTTCCTTTTCCTTCTTCGCAAGGGAACTCAAGAGCAGATTACAATATATAAAGAAACCCAGGCAAACATTCAATGCCTTGTTACAAATGAGAATACAGTGAAGCACAAAATACAAAGGCAAAGGCTTCTCCTTTCATTTCCGGCTCTAGAGGCACTGCTCATCACTGGTCCTATTTATATTCCGCCTTTCTCCCTGAGGGAACTCAGAGCAGATTACAACATACAAACAAACACAGGCAAACATTTAATGCCTTGTTACAAATGAGAATACAGTGAAACACAAAATACATAGGCAAAAGCTTCTCCTTTCATTTCTGGCTCTAGAGGCAGTGCTCATCACTGGCTCTATTTATATTCCGCAATTCTCCCCGAGGGGACTCAGAGCAGATTACAATATATAAACAAACACAGGCAAACATGCAATGCCTTGTTACAAATGAGAATACAGTGAAACACAAAAGGCAAAGGCTTCTCCTTTCATTTCCGGCTCTAGCGGCACTGCGCATCACTGGCTCTATTTATATTCCGCCTTTCTCCCTGAGGGGACTCAGAGCGGATTACAACATATAAACAAACACAGGCAAACATTCAATGCCTTGTTACAAATGAGAATACAGTGAAACACAAAATACATAGGCAAAGGCTTCTCCTTTCATTTCCGGCTCTAGAGGCACTGCTCATCACTGGCTCTATTTATAGTCCGCCTTTCTCCCCAAGGCAACTCAGAGCGGATTACAACATATAAACAAACACAGGCAAACATTCAATGCTTTGTTACAAATGAGAATAAAAGGAAAAGGAAAGGGCCTGAGGTTGTTAGGAATGCTGGGAGTTGGAGTCCAAAACTCCTGGAGGACCACCCTTCGCATAATGCATTTCCCCCGTTCCCTTCTTCGTCCCGTTACCGATGCACAGAGAGCAGTATTGTACATAGAAATGGCTGTCCCTTTTGTTTCCCCCTCCCCAGATCTGCACTTTCTAACCTTATCACGAAAACAAACAAACAAAAAAAGGGAATATGGAGTATGCAGCATCTTTCTTTGTTTTGTTTTTTTAAAATAATAGCCTTTGTTTAAACATAATGCGCTTCTTATTTTGATTTGCTTCCGGGCGCCTGGCCCTCTCTCTTTCTCTCTCCTGTATGATGATGACGATGAGTCTCTCTCTGTCTCTCTCTTTACGAATTCTTTGTAAAAGCTTTCCTCTTCCTGAGGCACCGAGGGGCTGTGGAGGGAGACCAAGCAGCCCCCTCTCTGGTACTACTAGCTGAGAATTCATATTCTACTTAACAAGGTAAAAATAAACTGAAATGTTTCTAGCCCGGTCTATTTCTGTTCGCGTCGAAGGTGTCCGCTGGGGGTTTCCGGGGTCTCAGAATTGGCCCCTCTTTCACTTACACGCAGCAAATAATAACAACAACAACAACACTTTATTTATATTCCGGCCTTTTCCTGAGGGGACTTGGAGCAGATTACAATGTATAAACAAAAACAGACAAACATTCAATGCCTTATTACAAATGAGAATATAGTGAAACACAAAATAGACAGGCAAAGGCTTCTCCTTTCATTTCCGGCTCTGGAGGCTGTGCTCTTCTCCATTTCCAAGCTGAGGAGCCTGCATTGATTTACACACAGAGGCACAGCAAATAATAATAACACTTTATTTATATTCTGCCCTTCTCCCCGAGGGGACTTACAGCAGATTACTATATAAAATACAGTAAAACACATATACGCAGACAAAGGCAAAGGCTTCTCCTTTCATTTCTGGCTCTGGGGTGGTGCTCATCTCTGTTTCTAAGTCAAGAAGCCTGCATTGATTGTAAGACTGTAGGTTTTATATACCAATATTAAATAACCACTCACAAGCTGGCTTGCTTTGAAATGGATATATTGCTTGTATCTCTGCAGCAAAGAAAGACACTACTGACTTTTTCCCACCACCACTTCCTTTTATACACCTTTCCTGCCCATCTTCCCCCTCTTCTCAGTTTCCACTACAAGGTTTCCAGCGCCCTCTGCTAGCTTCAAAATGTCACAGAGAGAAAATTGAGGCAGCCAGGATGATTCAGTCAGGATGTCATGGAGGGAATTTGTGATGTCTTCAAGCCGTCAGAAATTGACTCCTGACATTGATTTGCATACAGATGCACAGCAAATAATAGTAATAATAGTAACACTCTATTCATATTCTGCCCTTCCTCCAGAGGGGACTTAGAGCAGATTACAGTGTATAAACAAACACAGGCAAACATTCAGTGCCTTATTACAAATGAGAATACAGGGAAACACAGATACACAGGCAAAGGCTTCTCCTTTCATTTCCGGCTCCTGGAGGCAGTGCTCATCCCTGGCTCTGGGAGAGGTGCTCTTCTTCATTTCCAAGCTGAGGAGCCTGCACTGATTTACACACAGATCCACAGCCAATAATAGTAATAATAGTTTATTTATATTCTGCCCTTCACCCTGAGGGGACTCAGAGCAGATTACAATGTATAAACAAACACAGGCAAACATTCAATGCCTTATTACAAAGGAGAACACAGAGAAACAAAAAATACAAAGGCAAAGGCTTCTCCTTTCATTTCTGGCTCTGGAGTTGGTGCTCATCTCTGGCTCTGGGGGAGGTGCTCTTTCCCTATTTCCAAGCCAAGGGGCCTGCGTCGCTCATAGACACCCGGTCATATGACCGCATGGAGCATCTTTTTGCCTTTTCCCGCCGAAGCAGTACCTATTGATCTACTCACATTTGCCTGTTTTTGAACTGCTACGTTGGCAGGAACTGAGGCTGACAGCGGGAGCTCACCCTGTCCCGCAGATTTGGATTGCCAACCTTCAGGTAAGCAGTTTAGCAGCACAAAGATTTAACCCATTGTCCTTTAAGCCTTCTCTGCCAAACAGTGCTGGGCCTCACCAAACTGCAACTCCCAGGGTTCCACAGCAAGGAGCCATGGCCATTAACATGACATCAAGCAGCATCCGTTTTTTCCATTGCAGGGACTCTTGAAGAGAAGCCTTTGTGAAATGTTATATTGGGATGGTGCGAGGCCAGGGTTCCAACCTTTCCTCAGCCATGGAAACTGCTGCGGGGCGGGGGCATCTCTGCTTTGGAGGAAGGCTGAAGGGAGAACACTTTCCTGGCAGGATGGTCTCCATTACACGGACTGGTTGGGGCCTAGGACTCTGGGAGACCAGGACAAAGGCAAAGGCAAAGGCTTCTTTCATTTCCGGCTTCTTGAGGCAGTGCTCATCCCTGGGCATCTCTGGGGGAGGCACTCTTCTCCATTTCCAAGCTGAGGAGCCTGCGTTGATTTACACACAGATGCACAGCAAATAATAGTAACACTCTATTTATATTCCGCCTTTCTCCCCGAGGGGACTCAGAGCGGATTACAATATATAGACAAAGACAGGCAAATATTCAGTGTCTTGTTACAAATGAGAATACAGTGACACATCTACGCAGACAAAGGCAAAGGCTTCTTTCATTTCCAGCTTCTGGAGGTAGTGCTCATCCCTGGCTCTGGGAGAGGTGCTCTTCTCCATTTTCAAGCCGAGGAGCCTGTATTGATTTACACATAGATACACAGCAAAAATAGTAATAATAGTAACACTCTATTTGTATTCCACCCTTCTCCCTGAGAGGACTCAGCGCTGATTACAACATATAAACAAACACTGGCAAACATTCAATGTCTTATTACAAATGAGAATACATCATCCAAGATCTAATCCTAGAAGAACAAGCTGACCTGGCCTGCATTACAGACACCTGGCTGGACGAGGGGGGAGGGGTGAATCTCTCACAACTCTGTCCGCCAGGTTATTCTGTGCAGCACCAACCAAGACCTGGAGGGCGGGGAGGCGGAGTCGCGGTGGTCTATAAGGATTTTATCCCCTTGATCAGGTGCCCCATCCCACAGTCATCTTCCTTTGAGTGTATTGGCATTATGATTGGTGACCGGGACAGGATAGGGATTCTGTTAGTGTACCGACCACCCCGCTGCACGGCAGTCTCCTTACCTGAGCTAGCAGGGGTGGTCTCGGACATGGCTTTGAACTCCCAATGGCTTTTAGTCCTGGGAGATTTCAATGTCCATGCCGAGGCTCCCCCAACAGGTGTGGCTCAGGACTTTATGGCTGCCATGGCAACCATGGGCCTGTCCCAATTAGTATCTGGTCCCACCCATAGTGTCGGGCACACATTGGACTTGGTTTTTTGTCAGGGATGGGATGAAGGTGACGGGGTGGAGGAGCTGACCATCGCTCCATTGCCATGGACCGATCACCACCTGATCATGTTTAGACTAACTGTGCCTCTTACCCTCCGCAAGGGTGGTGGACCCATTAGAATGGTCCGCCCCAAGAGACTTATGGATCCAAATGGTTTCTTGATGGCTCTTGGAGAGTTTCCCACCTCCTTGGCTAGTGATTCTGTCGACGCTCTGGTCTCTCGCTGGGACAGTGAGATGACTAGGGCAATTGATATAATTGCTCCGGAGGGCCCCCTCTCGAGCAACAGAGCTAAACCGGCTCCTTGGTTCACTGAGGAGCTGGCGGCAATGAAGCGAGAGAAGAGGAGGCTAGAGTGTGTATGGCGTCAGGAGCCTACCAAATTAACCCAAACATGTCTGAATACCTTTCTAAGGTGCTACAGCATGGTAACACATCTACGCAGACAAAGGCAAAGGCTTCTCCTTTCATTTCCAGCTTCTGGAGGCAGTGCTCATCCCTGGCTCTGGCAGGGGCGGGCGCTCATTTCCAATCTGAGGAGCCTCACCAAAGGCCCAGGAGAGGGGCAACACAGTCAGGGAAGAATTTCCTGACTGTGAGAGCCGTTCAGCAGTGGAACTCTCTGCCCCGGAGTGTGGTGGAGGCTCCTTCTTTGGAAGCTTTTAAGCAGAGGCTGGATGGCCATTTGTCAGGGGTGATTTGAATGCAATATTCCTGCTTCTTGGCAGAATGGGGTTGGACTGGATGATGGCCCAGGAGGTCTCTTCCAACTCTTTGATTCTATGAACTTGACCAGCACCCTTTTGCCTCTATGGAGAACTCAGTTGGGGTCCTGCATTGGGTGGAAGTCTTTGGCAACACATCCCTGTCTTGCAAGAGGAGTCTCTGGACCAAAGTTGGCACCTGGAGGCATCTTCATGGCCTTACAAAAAGGTAGCCTGGACACTCGGTTGCAGGTCTGAATCCTCCCTTCTTTCTGATTGTGGGAAACTCTAGGGGCTGAAGCAGAGGGGTTCATGTTGTCCCTCTCCATGCTTAGTCCTACCACCCTCCTGATAGGAGCCGCTGACCCTATTGACCTCAGTCCCCTGTTCTTTCACTTCAACTGGACCTTCCCATTGGTTCACAGCCAATGTCTCCTCTGGGTGTTAGGAGAGCAGCTCCTATCGTTCCGAGCCAACATCACTGCTGATGGAAAGCAGCCCAGCAACATCTGGGGGGTTGCCCTGTCCCTTCCTGTGCTTCAGAATATCCTTTTGGGGTAACTTTGGAGCCCGCTGCCTCCACCCATAGCTGTACCTGGTCACTGCTAGAGCTCGGCCTTCGAAATAAGTGCCGGACAATGAGGGTCAATGTCCAGCATGTGAATGGGCCTCCTGTCCGCTGAGCACCAGTTCCACCAGTGCAATGGGCCATTGTTCTCCAAGCAGCAGCCCTAATGCGGCTTCAGGGAGACTCTGGCAGAGGCTGCAGTCCGCGCTGTCTTTGGAAACGGGACATTTAGGAACCCACCCAGGGAAAATCTCTTTTCTGGGTGCAGATGGCCACTTTTTAAAAGTGATTTTTATTCAAGGAGAAAGACATAATTGCACAAGTTTTGGGGTGCATTTTTTAAGTTCAAAGAACTTAGAAAATGCACCCCAAAACTTTTGACAAATAAAAAACATGGCTGTGGCTCACAAATGGGACTCTGAAAAAGGAGACAAAGGAGGACCTCATCCTGGCAGCCCAAGAACAAGCCATTCGAACCAAGGCCATCCAAGCCAGAATTGAAAAGTCGACCACAAACCCCAAGTGTAGACTCTGCAAGGAAGCAGGTGAAACGAGATCCCATCTTCAGCTGCTGCAAGAAGATCATGGACAGACTACAAGCAGAGGCACAACACCATCGCTCAGATGATTCATTGGAACTTGTGCCACAAACACCATCTGCCTGCAAAAAAGAATGGGTGGCATCACAAGCCGGAAAAAGTTACAGAGAATGAACACGCCAAACTCCTCTGGGACTTCCGGATTCAGACAGACAAGAGTTTTGAAGCACAACACTCCTGACCTCACAATTGTGTTAAAATACAAAGTATGG